CATTCATGCTCGTGCTCGTGAGTGTGGGTGTGTGGTGGTGTGGATGCCATGTCAGGGCCTAAGAAGGGGGCGCTGGTTCCCCGCCAGGGTCCCCGGCTGACCAGAGGAACCTGAGCAGCTCTCCATCTTCTGGCCACTCACCTTCAGCCAACACACCCCAGAAGCTTTTGGGGCCTGTCCATTTCCCTGGAAAGTGTCAGTCCTGTCCTGGCCAAAGAGGGCAAGCCAGGGGTGGTGGTGGGACTGGTTTCCTCAGTCCTGTCAGTAGTACACCTAAATCTCTGTCACCTGGGTTTCTGAGCCCTTCTGCCTGACGGCACCTGGGGTGCAGAGGCTAGTGTGACCAGTAGATGGACAGACAGATGGACAGCTGGCTCCCCATGTGGCTGCGTCCTCCCACCAAGTGGGCAGCTAAATCAACAGGCCCAGAAATCGGAGAGGGGCCCAGGGCCTGGCTATGCATCGGTCTGTTTGTTTGTTTGTTCTGGGAACTTCCAGACTGCAGGAGGCTCTGGTGCCTGGTGGGGGGCAGGGGGTGCTATCACCCAGGCCTAGCTGACAGCCCCATCCGGCCGGCCATCCCTCTCCCCGTCTCCCCGTCATGTTCCCCTGGAAGATAGCAGCCCCCGTGAAGGGGCGCAGCTAAGTCCTAGGCAGAGGGGAGGCTGTGACCCAGCTACACGTGGTTGTGCAGGCCCTGACCCATCCCCTCCTGGCTCTGAGGAGCCTGGTGTCACAGGGCTGTGTGTCTCTCTGTCCTGTCTTCTCTTCTCCCCACTACTGCCATCCCCTCTGGTATCTACCCATCGACTCTCAGTTTCCCTGTTTGCTCATCCTGCAGTCACTAGTCCCCAGGGTCCAGGCAGCAGCACTCCAGAGATGCAGCAAGCCCTGCTCTGGGACCAGGAGGCAGGTGACACTGGGGTCCAAAAAGAGTCCTAGGGATGTCACAGGAGGGGTGAGAGGGCCAGCCCCTTCCCTAGCCATGCTTCAACTCTCCCCCACCCATATCCTCTCCAACCACCACAGTGCACACACCAGGCTGTTTCTAACTCCTGGACCTTTGCCAAGAACTTCATGGGATCCACTTGGCCAGGCTCACTTGGGCATACCCTCAGAGCCCTCAGTCCCCCTTGTGTGAACCCCACTGTGGGCCTGGGGCCCCCAGGCAGCACTTCCGCCTACCCTCTGCCACACCCCACAGAACTCGGGACTGGACAGACACACATCCCCGCCCACCCGGGGTTTGGGTAAGAGCCCAACACCAACGAGGAAGCCTAGAGGTGGACTCATAGGTGCTTCTGCTTCAGTAGGGGGAGGGGCATGAGGCGGGAAGGGCCAGGGAGCAGTTAGAGGTCAACGGAGCCACCACTCTTCTGCGCACATTGAGTCCTCAAGCTGGAGAGAGGGATTCGCCTCCTCCAACTTTGCAGGATAGTGTCACAAGAGATCAGATGTGTGCACTGCAGGGCCAGGGCCAGACACTGCCCTTGCCCCGCTTCTGGCCCCAGCCCCAGGCCACACCATAGCCCCTGAAGACTCCCCACCCCCCGCCAGTGCCAGCCCAGCACCCGGAGGGTTTGTAAACCCATGGCGTGTGGTCAGATGGTGCTCAGGCAAGCAGGGCGCCCGCTGACTGTGCAGCCTGGGCTCCTGGGAGGGGTGGGGGGGATGGACGACCGAGCCTGATTCTCCTCTGCAGGGAGCTGGAGGTTCTCCCTGCTTGGTAGCTGGAGACCGAGGGTAAGGAGGCCACAGCCCAGCCACTGTGCAGACAATGTGGGCATGGCAGCCCCACCCGTCCGCCTCCAGAGCTTGGGGTCCCTGCCTATCCACACCAGCGCCACCCTGAAAGCCACGTTTGCAGCGTCGGGGCCAGGGCCAAAGCACCTTCTCTGGGTGGAGGAATGATGGGGCACGTCTGAGGGGCCAAGGTTCTGCGTGAGATACCAGTGGCGGGCCGGAGCGTCGAGGTGGGGACAGGGTTGGGAAGGCAGGACAGAGCCACCCAGTGCGCCCGCCTCCCCGGGCTCCAGCGAAGCTCGCCTGCCTCTTGCCCCCACTGCTGCCCTGTGGAGACTTGGCTCCGAAGGCTCAAGGCTCGTCCTGGGGTGGAGGCGCTGACTGAGGTGGAAAGCCAGCGTCCAGGGTGCTCCTGGTGCAGGACTTTCCTTTGCGACCCCTGAGGCCAAGTCTAAGCAGACACTTGAAGCAGTCCCCAGCTGATCAGTCCTGAAACGAAATAATTGGGATCAAGTAAAGCCGGGCTCTTCTCTGTCTGTGCCCTGGGAGGCGCAGCCTGGTTCTGCCCTGATCCAAACTCTGGTTCCTGGAGGAGGGGGTCTCCGGTGCGCCACGCACCCACATCCTGTGGGCACCTGCATGGATCCATCTGCGTATGCATTTGCCCCAGATGGCGGGAGACCCACGCTGGGGGCGCGGGTGGTGTGCCCCTAATCTTCAGGAGCACCTGAGTGCAAGGATCCGAGGGCTTGGCGCCGGCCAGAGATTCACAAGGGTGCACAGGTCCTTCCTGGGCTGGGAATGAAAAGGTTCGGAGGAAATTAGCGGCAGCCCATCCCAGCGCTAGAGGTGTGCCTTTACAAATGGACGGTGGATGAGAAGTGGGGTCCTGCCTGCCAAAAGAGTGTGAAGGTGCCTGTGGTGACAGCTCCCCTGGGGGAGACACGTGCACTCTCCGGAGGCGGAGCTGGGCGGGCAGCCCGCTAGTCAAGACTCTCCAGGGGCCACCTCCTGCTCGCTGGGGAGAAAACCTCCGACACAGGGCTTGCTTCAGGCAAAACTCCAAAGATGCTGGGGCGGGGGGTGGCTGAGCCTTCCAGAGTAGTGCTGGGGCGCAGCCGAACGCCCACGTGGGACCCCGTGCAGGGCCCAGAGGGAAGCAAAGGCCGCCGCTGTCCTGGTGCCGAGGACGTGCCTCGGTCTCAGCCTCCTCCCGCCCCTCCCGCCTCCGGCCCTCAGTCGGACTTCTGGTCCCCACCCCGTACCTACCGGCGGCCCAGCAACGCCCAGCCTCGGTTTCAGGGCCTGTAAAATGGTCTCGTAGTAACCCTGACTTCGCAGCCAGCCGGGCCGCTAAATGCGGCTCTTGTCTTCTCTCTGCGCCCCAGGCGGAGGGGCGGACGGCGCCCCGAGAAGGCAGACCCCGGGCGGCTCCCGACCGCCGGCAGTTCGGCCCTCCCGGCCGGCGTACACCGGCGCCCCGCCAGGCCTCCTACCTCGCGGTGGAGGCGCGGCCGGCAGGGGGAGCGAGGCGGAAGGGAGCCGCGGCCGGCCAGGTGAGGGAGGAAGGCTTCCCGCGGGCGGCGCGCGGCGTGAGCGTGCGGGCCGGGGTGTGCGGGGCGCGGGCCGGCGGGCGGGTGCGCTCCCTCCGGGCTGCGGGCCGGGGCCGGGGCCGGGGCCGGGGCGGCGGCGGCGAGCGCGCGGGCGGGTTGCGGGGCGGCGGAGCGCAGCGCGAGAGGGCGGTGCGCGCCCCAGGAGGGACGCAGGGTGGTTCCGAGAGGCGCAGCCCGGGTGGGCGCTGGAGGCAGCGACTCCGCTGCGGGCTGGAGGCTTAGGCGGCCTCGCGCTTCGAGCCTCTCCAGTCGAGGGCTCCAGGAGGGCCCGGGCACTGAGCCGCGGGGTCTGAGGTTCTGCAGGCGCGGGTGAGTATCGGCCGCGGGTGGAAATGGGTCGACCCCGCGACGACGGAGCGGCCTGGGTGAGGCCCCTCACCTCTTCCCGGCGCCCTTTTCCTCGACCAGGGTTGGCCCACCCCACAGAGTCCTCTGCTCCGGCACGTTTGCCCTCCCAACCCGGCCCAGCAGGTCTCCGTTCCGGCAGGAAGGGGTTAATGAGGGGCTGGGAGGATCGTCCGCTCCCCTCCACCACCTCGGACACGGAGGAGGCCCGAGGGCCTCAGGACGGTGCCCCAGAGGCCCATCCAGGAAGCCCCAGGGCTTTTCACTTTCACTTCTCCCTTCTCAATATTGGTGTCACCTCCGACTCCACATCTGGCCACTGCCCTCAGGTGTGTGCCCAGATACACGTAGAAGGCTCCCCAGGTGCACAGGACACAACCACTAGCATCCCCACATGCTGGGGCAGCATGCATCCCAGATAATGCACAACCACACACAGGAGCCCCTCCCAGAGTCCCCACATGGGCCCCACAGGCAGCCGGCAGGGCCCAGGGCCTCTCTGTGCGAGGACTGCTGGTGTGAGGTACCCCTGGTGACACTGCCCTGCGTGCCTGTCTGGGTGTGGACTGCCAGCAGTGGGCATGCCTCCACGACCTGGCCCCACCAATGTCCCCTCCCAGCGGGGCTCTCCCCGCCATCAGATGCAGCTCTTCCTGGGGTCCTGGAGGCAGTGGGCTGCCCTGCTGAGGGAAGAGGAAGAGAGACCTTAAGCCCAGCTGGTTCCACATCTCACTCTCCCCTGGACCTGCCCATAGGTCCCACAGGTTAGTGTCACTGTCACAGCCCCAAATGGCCACTCCGGACTGAAGGCACGCTCTGGCAACAGCTTCCCTTTCCTTCCACGCTCCACAACTACAGCCGCAGCTGGCGGGGGGGGGGGCAAGTAGGGGGGCTCACTGTCTGGGAAGTCACATACACCACACCCCAGTCATATGCCCACATGCTCCTGTGCGGCACTCACCGCCTCGTGCTCTTTCCTGGACCTCAGGCCCCGGAGCCAGTCCCTCCCTACTGGAGCTTACTCCCTGGTCCTCAGTTCCTGAGCCTTCCCCACTTCTTAGCCAGCACCCTCTCCAGCCTGGGGTCTGAGGCCCCAGGATTGTAAAAGCCCTGGAAGACGCCGCCGGCCTCCCATCCTCATCCCAGGCAAGCGCAGGCAAAGGCCTACAACACGGTTGCAGGCGGAGAAGCCTTGGAAATGGAGGCCCTGACTGCCAGAGCCTCAGTGAAGGGCCAGAGAGGCTCCTGGGAGGCTGAGAGACTTGATGCTCTGCTGGGGAAACTCTGGGCTGCGAAGCCATGGATGCCTTGAACTGGTCAGAGGAGACCTCAGTGGCAGTAGGTGAGGGAAGGCACAGGCCAAGTTAGGCCTCAGTGTCCTGGATGCCCGGGCCTAGAGGCCTTGAGGCCTCAGGGTGGGCCTTGCCTCAATCTTCCGGGGCCTGGCTGGACACCAAGGCAGCAGGGCCTTCCCAGGTGGGCAGGGTGGATGGCAGGGGGCAGCGTACAATCCGACCCGGCGGCCTGAACTCCTCCGACGTGTCCTCGGCTCCCTGGGCCAGTCCAGGCCCCGCCCCCGGCCCTCCCTGCGCCCGGCCGGTGCGCGGGGAGGTCGGAGGAGCGGGCACTGCCCACCCTCCGGATGTATAAGCGTCCTGGCCAGAGGCCGGTGGTGCGCGCGGGTGCGCGTGACACTCGGGCTCCCGGGCTGCACGGCCTGGGCGGCGTCCCTCTGCTCCGGGTCCCCAGCCACGACAGTGAGCCGGCTGAAGGGGGCTGGGGGGGTGCTTGCTGGGCTGGGTCCCGTTCCGCCGCGCTGAGGAACGGACGACGCCACAGCTCCGGGCTTGTCCGCCTGTGGCCAGTGCTGGAGCCTGAACTGCCCTCTCCTCACCCAGGTGCAGGGGCAGCCAGGGAGGAGGAGGCGGGAGGGGCCGAGGGCAGGGGTAAGGCTGAGCCCAGGCGGCCCCACGGTGATCCATCGGTGCCTCACTGACCCGGGCTGAGGCTGGGCGCTCCCGGGGTAGCTGCTTCCACTCGGGGGCTGTAGAGCCCAACAGTGGCTTCGCCGGACAGAGGGAACCCTGGCCTCGGTGGGAACAGCGGGATGTTCGAAGGGCGCTGGTCACGGAGGTCCCTGGGAGCAGAGGCCAGGGGCAGGGAGCTTGAAAAACAGAAGGGCCCCACACTCCCAGGGCGCTCCACCCATCTGGGCCCCTCGGCTGCCACCAGCCCGGAGTGGGGGGCCGTGACGCCATAATCCCCTGGGCCCAGGGCTGGAGGCTGTGAGTGGCATCGCAGGCCCCCGCCCCCGGGTCCCGTGGGCTGGGCCGGCCTCGGTGCGGCTGGGTGCACGCAGTCGGAGGCGGCGCCGGCCAGGCCGCCCGGGCGCCTATGGACGCGCGGAGCCCGCTGTCTCCCCGGGCCAGCGCGTTCAGCATCGCCTCTCTGGTTGCAGCAGAGGTCGCAGAGCGCACCGTTCGCCTGGGCCCCGGGTCCTCCGACCAGGCGAAGCTCCACCGGCTGTTGGGATCCCCGGCCGGGATGCACTTCAGCACCGTCACCAGGGACATGGAAGGTGAGCCGTCCTGCTGTGTCTATGGGGACCCGCCCGCCAGTCCCCCTGCCACTGCTGCCGTGGGGCCCAAGCAAAGAGTGTTGGCAGGGCCCGGGCACAGAGTGGGTGGAAGGAGCTCTGGGGGGGTGGGCTTCAGGCTTCCAGCGACTCGGGAGCAGAGAAGAAGGGCAGGCATCCTGCCCAAAGCCTGGGCACCCTCCAGGCTGGGGACCCAGCTGCAGAGACCCGCAAGCAGCTAGACTCAGGCCCAGAACAGGACTAGTGGAAGCCAGGAGGGACAGGAGAGGAGGACCGGAGAAAGGTGGCAGAGGTGGCCGCAAGCTGGGAGGGGTGGAGGGAAGGTGGCAGGAGCAGAGTGTGTCATAGAGTCTGGGAACCTGGGAAAACGAGAGAGAGAAAGTGGTGAGGGCGGCGGGGGGAAAAGAAATTGAGAAGAGAAAAAACACAGAACACTCAAAAGGAAGGTCGCAAAAATGAGAAAGATGAAGAAGAAATAAAGAGAGCAAGAACGAAAAAGAATAAAGTGAAGGGAAATTTAAGACAGAAAATAAAGTCATAAAAAAAGGGAAACGCTAGAGAAAATCTCCAGTTTTTATTTTGTTAAAAAAAAAAAGGAAAAAAAACCCGGAATAACAGGAAAAGACCTACAGAAATAAGAGGCAAAAGGCAGACTAGAAAGAAAGACGAAGTGATGAAAAATGAAGTGGAAAGAAAGGAGAGGGACAGCACTGGAGAAAGAAAGAGGCAGAAAGTAAAACAGAAATAAAGAGAAACGAAGGAGATAGTGGAAGAAGGAAAGAGGATTAGGAGAGAAAATTTCATCGAGGAAGACAAAGGTAAAGAA